TAGATGTGGCAAAATGTACATCAGTATAATTGAATGCAGGGGTTTGGTTTGGAAAGCACATTATAGGGGCAGTTGAGAGATTGATTCTAAAGCCATTGCTGCACAGCAGCACTATATGAAATATCATTATCCACGATGACATGCACCTTTCAATTTGGCCGTGGGAATTTTGTAGACATGATAGTCATTGCTAATTGAGACCACTAGATATCTCTATCTTCCTGCTAGCAAAAGTGTAAGAAGCTCTAAAAGAAAGTTGATACTTTAATCTGCTACAGTTGGTAACATATTGACAACCTGCTCGTATCTGTCAAGTCTGCTTTGTAAATGTAGGAACGACTGAGTATACCAAACATTAGGAACACCTTCCTAATATTGAGTTGCAACACCCCCCTTTTGCCCTCAGAACAGCCTCAATTCAACGGTGCATGGACTCTACAAGGTGTTGAAAGTTTTCCACAGGGATGCTGGCCTATGTTGACTCCAATGCTTCCCACAGTTTTCATGTTGGCTGGATGTCCTTTGGGTGGTGGACCATTCTTGATACCCACTGGAAACTGTTGTGCGTGAAAAACCCAGCAGTGTTGCAGTTCTTGACACAAACTGGTGTGCATGGCACCTACTACCATACCCCGTTAAAAGGCACTTACATTTTTTGTCTTGCCCATTCACCCTCTGAATGGGACATCAATATGGGATCATAGCGTTCACCTGGTCAGTCTATGTCATGGAAAGAGCAGGTGTTCTTAATGTTTTGTATACTCAGTGTACAATGCATGTCATGTAGAGTTCCCTTCCTCAGTCTGACGTTGTTGTTGTTGTTGTTGTCACCCTCCCCAGGTGAGAAGCCGTTTGAGTGCAAGCTGTGCCACCAGCGATCCAGGGACTACTCGGCCATGATCAAACACCTGCGCACCCACAACGGCGCCTCGCCCTACCAATGCACCATCTGCCTTGAGTACTGCCCCAGCCTCTCGTCCATGCAGAAGCACATGAAGGGCCACAAGCCCGAAGACGTCCCCCCAGACTGGAGGATAGAGAAGACCTACCTGTACCTCTGCTACGTCTGAGGCCTTCAGACGACAGCCCGGGGGGAAGGAGGACGGGCAGAGGAGGTGGAGGACGAGGTGGAGGAGGAGGGGGGCTGAGGAAGGAAGAGGAAGGGGAGGAGGGGCCTGAGGAAGGAAGCGGGAAGGGGAGGAGGGGGGCTGAGGAAGGAAGAGGAAGGGGGGAGGGGGCT